GCACAGATAGAAAATGAGGAATTAAAGTGTGTTTACTAACAGGCAACATGATTATTAAGGTATTAGTTTTCCCCCAGTTTGATGGAAAGATAACAATGTGTTCTCTATCAAAACCCCCATCAGATTTTTAGTAGATATTGGCAAATCAGTTACAGAATTTATATGGAAATTCAAAGTACCTAGAATAGCCAAAACAATCTTGAAAAGAAAGACAAAACTGATTGATTTACACTACCTGCTTTCATGCCACAGTAATCAAGACAGTGTAATATTGGCAAGGGAAAAAAAGAGGCTCCAGAAAGAGACCCAAACTTAAATGGTCAATTAAGTCCCAACATAAGGACTAAGGCAATTCAATGGGAAAGGGAAGGTTTACAACAAATAATGGCGCAACAATCAGATAAACATACAGAAAAAAGTGGAACTCATACACACAACACATAAATATATTAGTTGAGAGAGATCACAAACCTAAACTACAAATAGCTAATACTACAAAGCTTCCAGAAGAAAACATAGGCTAATATCTTTGCAACTCTGGGACAGGCAAAGATTTCTTGGGTCACAGAATTACCTGGTCTTCATCAAAGTAAAATTTTCTGCTCATGAAATACACCTTTAAGAAAATTAAAACATAAGCCACAGGCTCAGAGAAAATATTCACTATACATATAAACATCTGTCTGTCTATAAACATCTACCTGTCTATCTAGGGGCACCTGGGTGGCTAAGTCAATTAAGCGTCTGACTCTTGGTTTCAGATCAGGTCACGATCTTGCGACTGTGGGATCAAGTCCCACGTCGGGACTCTGTGCTCAGTGGGGAGTCTGCTTCAGATTCTCTCTCCCTTTCCCTCTTGTGCTCTCTCTCAAATAAATAAATCAATCTTGAAAAAATTTATCTAGAATACAGTCGATATAGATATATAATATATTCTATGCAGAACATATACACACAATACATATTCTCTATGTGGCATATATACACTATGTATAAGACGTATGGACAAAGATTAAAAAGAACCCTCATTTTTTAAAAAAGACTAAAAATGGACACAAGGAAGATCTGGAAGTGGAATCAGCACATGGAATGGTGCTCAATATCATTAGTTATCAAAGGAACACACAGTAAAACCATAATGACACACCAAGTCAAAGGACTACATGGAAACGACTTACACTATCAAGTGATGGAGAATGGAGATTCTCGGGCAGGACCAAGGGGAATACAAAATGATACAACCACTCTGGTTGTTTGTTACAGAATTAACTTCTACTCTGTCTCTCGGTAATTCCATTTGTAGTTAATACGAAGGAAAACAAAAAGATACATCCATTAAAAGATATATAAAATAATCTTTATAGCTAATTATTCATGACTTTAAAAAAAAAAAAAGGAAACCTGGGTGCCTGGGTGGCTCAGTCAGTTAAGCATCTGCCTTCAGCTCAGGTCATGATCTCAGGGTCCTGGGATCAAGCCCCGCATCGGGCTCCCTGCTCCACGGGAAGCCTGCTTCTCCCTCTCCCACTCCCCCTGCTTGTGGTCCCTCTCTCACTGTGTCTCTCTCTGTCAAATAAATAAAATCTTAAAAAAAATAAAATAAATAGGGCGCCTGGGTGGCTCAGTCGGTTAAGTGACTGCCTTCGGCTCAGGTCATGATCCTGGAGTCCCGGGATCGAGTCCCGCATCGGGCTCCCTGCTCAGCAGGGAGTCTGCTTCTCCCTCTGACCCTCCTCCCTCTCATGCTCTCTGTCTCTCATTCTCTCTCTCGCAAATAAATAAAAATAAATAAAAATAAAATAAAATAAAATAAATAAAAATAAAAAAATAAAAATGAGCAAGGGCGCCTGGATGGCTCAGTCATTAAGCATCTGCCTTCAGCTCAGGTCATGATCTCAGGGTCCTGGGACTGAGCCCCACGTCAGGCTCCCTGCTCAGCGGGAAGTCTGCTTCTCCCTCTACCTCTGCTCCTGCTTGTGCTCTCTCTCTCAGATACCTTTTTTAAAAATATTTTATTTATTTATTTGCCAGAGAGAGAGAAAGCACAAGCAGGGAGAGCAGCAGGCAGAAGGAGAAGCAGGCTCCCCCCTGAGCAAGGAGCCCGATGCAGGACTGGAATCCAGGACCCTGGAATCATGACTTGAGAGCCAAAGGCAGATGCTTAACTGAATGAGTCAACCAGGTGTCCCATAAATAAAGATCTTTAATTAAAAAAAAAAAAAAAAAGGAAACCCAAATATCTATTATCAGGAGAATGAACATGAATGGTATATCCCTAAAATGGAGTGAACTACTCACATACACAACTACTTGGATGAGTCTCAAAAACATTATGTTGAACAAAAAAAGTTAGACACAGAGTAATAATTACATACTACATGATTAGGAAAGACTAGTATCAGGTGACAAATAAGAACACTTTCTACCTCTGAGAAGTCAGGACTGATGAGAAAGAAAGAAGGAACGTGCTGGGGTCACAGAACTGCTTCTGACCAAAAGAAGGGCAGTAACTTGAACAAACACTGAACTGTACACTTCAGATCTGTGCCTATCACTGACTATAAACGGCACCACAATTTAGAAAGTAAATATTTTAAATAGTGCACAGATTTCTTTACACTTCTCTCAGTACTCCTCCTATACATGAAGGAAGTATCTAACATAGGAAGCCTGTTTAAACCACGTGTGAAGACAACAAGCACAACTGGCCCTGGGCATCTTTGTAATTACATCCTTCTCATCTGTGGCGAGTACAGTGATTTCTTTGCTCTAACCAAGCAAGAGCATTAATTAAGTAAGAGGAGTCACCTCAAGTAGGGTTTCCAATTGAAATGACTCCTTGGCTGCACTGTTCCAATGCTGCTAATATGGACTCAGAGCTCCTAGAATGAGGTCATCTGAAGAACCGCACCGTGCACCGTGCCTCCTTCCTCAGCTCTAAGTGCACCCCGGAGCCATGTCCCCTCCAAAAACAGCTCTCTCTCCAGAAGATACTTGATAATGGAAGGCAAGATTACCATTTTTTTAAATAATAACCCACTTGTGCTTTAATATTTTAATGAATACAGTTCAGAGATCAAAGTGTGAAATACCTAGATCTACAAGTCAGACCCAGAGGGCACTTCCAGAAGGCACCCAGGCAAGGGTAACACTGCTTTTCTTTGACTGCTTCACACAAAAAAGAGTTTGTATCTCCAGAGATCACTGGACCTTTTCTCATTCTAAAGTAGCCTATAAACACAGCATTATCAAAGGGTAAAGAGACTATTACCTAAAATACTGAAAGAATAAATTACAGACAAATACCAATGAAATTAATTTTCCAAACTCCAAATCCCACAAACTAATAAGCAGGACACAGACTGGGTTTCCCTGACAGCTGTTCACCACTGGGAACGATCTCGGCAAGACCCAATCCGTACCTTCCCCTTCTCTCCTTTCATGGCTTCTTAAGGGTTCTTTCTTGGATGTCTTCTGCCTGAATCAGCCTCTCACAGGTCTGACCTAGATGTGCTCCAGGCCCTGGAGCAGGCAGAACGCAACCCGCACGCAGCTCTGGTTTCCCCGAACCTGGGGGCAGCGGCTGCCCGGGGCAGTGGTTCGTGACACAGAGCGGTCACGACGAGAGGAACCATCTCTAATTTAACATCTTCTTCAGCTCTGTCTTGGTTCCTTGTCCTGGTTCCTTCTACAACTGGAGAATCTGGGTAAAGAATTCTCTGTACTATTCTTCTATATTATTCTTCTATCTTTTCTCTAAGTTTCAAATTATTTCAAACTAGTAAGAGACAGAAAGCACAAAAAGAAAAATCAAATTTAGCTTGTTAGGGAGGAGAAAGGGTATGTCCTGGAAAGTGCGCACAGCGCACACGCTCAAATACTCTGCGTCACAGCACCGTGTTAGGAAAAAGTTAAGAGTAAATAAAATGTTCTGTATACCGAGTTTCTAAAGCACTGGCAAAAGTACCTAAGCCACTGAAATACCACTTTTCATGATCTTTTTGGAATAAAGAGGGGGGAAAGTTATTACGGAAAATAACTGAGAAAAGAAACATTAATAAGAAAGAAGTTTTTAGGGGAGCCTGCGTGGCTCAGGTCATGACCCCAGGGCCCTGGGATGGAGCCCCGCATCGGGCTCCCTGCTTGGCGGGAAGCCTGCTTCTCCCTCTCCCTGCCGCTCTGCCTACTTGTGCTCTCTCTCGGTCTGTCAAATAAGTAAAAAATCTTAAAAAAAAAAAAAAAGAAAGAAAGAAAGAAGAAACCGTTTTTAAACCAACAAATCCTAAAGCTATAGAATGATTTTATGGCTTACATGCTTGGCCCACCAGACAAGTTCTAAGGTTGGAAAACTGAATTTATTAAGCCCTATGCCTCGTACCACCTCCACTCATCCAAACGACATCTATTTTCCAGACCAGCCCACAGGTCACCTCTTCCACAAAGCCTCAACGTCTTCCCACCCACTTTCCCTAATGGGCTCTGAGACCCACTCCCAACCGGACGGCCCCTCCGTCAGCCCCTGAAGCAGGGATTGGAGCCTCTGCTGGCAAGCTTCACTTCCAGGCTTATGTCACAGGGGGCCAAGCTTCTCAACCATCCTCCTTTAACACCTAAGACAGCACCTAAATACAGGAACCTGGAAGTATTTTTGTAATGATGGTCATAACTAACAAACAGTAACTAATTTAAAATGATCACAGCACTCCTTTCAAAGCACTAACACATACATCACATTTTTTAAAGATTTCTACCCACGCCCCCATAAAACACTGAAGACATTCTAACACTTAAAGGGCAAACAGCTATGTGGAAATCACAGCTCACCAGAACTCACTGCCCAAAGACTCTAGAAAGCTCAGGCTTTTTACTGCACTCATAGTACAAAGAAGAGATGTTATCAACTTTTCACTAATGCTAAAAAAAAATGCTCATTTTAAATCTGGAAGGAAAAAAAAAAAAACACCAAAATTTTGGACTCTTTTTAAAAGACGAACAAATACCTCTTCAGTTTCAGGAGCAACCTGTGGGTCAGTAATCTCATCTAATTCATCTTCAGCAACACAGTCTTCCTGCTCTTGCAGCCCTTGTTGCCCACAAGCCTGCAAGTATTCTTCATCCTAACAGCCATTAAAGAGAAAATAAGTCTTCCTCATATAGCTTTGGGTTTTTGAAAGCACTTTTCATCTTCACGACTCATGCTTCATTATTTTAGCAAATTTGACTATGGCAATTACCCGACGAAGCAGAAAGCATGAAGCACGCGCATCGAATGTGGCCTCCCCTATGTTAATGAGGACAGAGTGCAGTATGCTGGCCCCATCGCTAAGGTTAGTGACACAGCTCTGCTTCAGCCCCCAAGCGCCCTGATAAATAGCTCTTCTTAGAATCAGCACTAAGGAAAAGCAATCTTCAAACGAATGTGCGTGTGCTCGCATAGTGCAGCTCAGCAGCAGGAAGGGGAGCCGAAATCACACCCAACGTGCACCATTTTTACAGCAATAGAAGGTAACAAAAGTATAAGCCATTCAACTCAACACAGGAGCTTTATTAAAAATCACGTTAGAATTTGCTTCTCCATCAGCCCATCCCTGAATTAGAGGGGTGATTCCAGGTTTGTATGAAATGTAAGGGGCATGTCAGCAGGCAGACAGCCCTTGAAGGGCATATGGGAGGAAGCAGACAAGGTGGCTAGAAATAACTTCAAGAGAAGGAAGGGCTCCTACAGATACTACTATCAAGTAACAAGAACATCGGGTCCTACGCGGGGGAGCTGAGCTTGCCAGCAAATCCACTCACGGGCTGAAACGAACACTGGTTGGTTACAAGACAACCAACCAAGAGTGAGCATGTACACAACCTGAGCAAACTACTGTGGGGGACACAGAAGCCACACCTACAACCCCAAAGAAACCAGCTGTATTCAAGGTGACAAACTATCGTAGGTCCCACAAATGTCTCTCAAGGCTATGTGAACACACTGTATCTCACTCTCCAGAAGAAACCTCCCCATCAAAAAGAGAAACTATCACTACCCACAATTCACTGACAGCAGAACTGCCGGATTTCAAATAAGGCCAGACGATGCTAATCAAAATTTTCAGCTAATATACAATGGAGAATAGTTATGCCACTGGATCCTCCCCAAGAAACAAAAATCTGCTACCCTTTACATAAGTTACCCATCTGAAACTGTTTTTACAGAACAATCTTTTATGAAATCTCAATCTACGGTAATTTTTAAAACCCCGAAAAGACTGTGCTTAAAAGTATACATCACCCAACAAATTTCTCATATTTTGCCAAATAATAAGGATCATCTCTTAATATAAAAGTACAAGTTTTTAAATCAAATCCCAATTCACTCTCAAGAACAGGACTGGCGAAATTCACAAAACCCAAGGAAGGTCTTACTTTTGAGTATAACAGGAAAGAACATGGAGTTCGACTACCAACTTCTAAATGTGGACCTCAGCTTCTTCATATGCAGAAGTGTCCCTTCCAATTGTAAAATTCAGTGGCTTTATGACTCCATTCTTAGTTATATGCAAAATCCATCCATGGGATTTTAATAGTGAGCCCCAACTGACAGAATGTGCTCATGCTCCAGCATGTCACCGAGCTGGATTCTAGCTTTAGAGGACAAGTTAACAATTCCTAACTAGGACATGAAACACAGTGAAATAAACCATCTGATAAACTAAAATGCCACTGGGACACACAGGCACACAATCCACTGGTTCGCTTGGTCGGCTACTCATGAATAATTCCCTCATGGTGCACCAGGGGCAGCCTGCGAAGGCAGGGAGCCTCCCTGGCTCCGGAGCTGGAGCCGGGTGCCAGACGAAGGCCAGCTCTCTCCTCCGTCCAAAGAAAAGGTAATGGCACACTCCACCATGCTAACTATGAAGAAACCAACAACCCGAAAGAAACAAGGAAGAGAGAAAAGAGTGGTCATGGCTATGAAGCTACACGTGCTGAGGTGAGCGGACACGGCTCACAGGACACTCGCCTCACCTTTCAAGTTTACAGCTCCCTGTGAAAATATCAGGGCACTTTCAGAAATTCTAAGCAAAACTGTTTTAAGACTTCTTCTTAATTTTGAAAAAAAAAATTCATTCTGACGTGGAAAAGTACTGTAAGTATACTGAACTGCCACACTGTTTTTCTTTTTGATACCGGACTCTGATCTGAGACCTTAAGATGTCAGGTAACTAAGTTGGATTTTTTACAAGCAGGAGCCTAAATGTAACCTCTACTTTGACCACGGAACACAAGAGAGGGAAAGTCCTGACTTAGGAGAATTCTCTCCTCAACAAATTCGGCCACAAGGCCACAGTGAGAAACACGTCCTCTGCGGCACCCTAGTGCCGTCAAGCAAGCACTTTCCACACTTATCTGTTCCACTCCAGAAGGCAGGGGCCATGCCTCATGTCTCATGTTTTAGCGAAACTGGTGCCCCTGGTGCCTGGACAACAGTAAAGATGTGCCGAACTGATGAATTTACAAGGGAAATGGACCCACATACGATTAACCAATCATCTTCTCTTACCGATGAACGAGAGAAATAATAAAATGCTCTAACCAGGGAATAACTAGGTACATTTTTAAAAGATCTTGGCTTAATCTTTAAGAAAATTTTAAATTTATAATATCCCACTTTCAGACAGTATACAAACACACCAACCAGCAGAGAACCTGTCCACACCAGTGAAGGATTTACTACCAAAACAAAATTACCATTATCCAATGAACAAGTAGCCATGATGCCTTTTACATGATTCTACTTACCAAAACGACACACATTTTTTCATTACTGTATCTAGTAAAGAGAAAACATTCAAAACGAATCAAATCTTAAAAATAACTACTGAGATAAACACAATTATGATTAGAACTAAATATTCTAAGGTTCCTCATAAACGATCCCTTTCAAAATTACTCCCATTTATATGTATGTATGACCAATGACCAAAATTCAGACTTTGAATTTTTTCCTCAAAAGCAAGCTTCCTCTGAATAAAAACATTAAGAGATTAAAGGCAAAGCTAAGAGCCCCAACTCTGCACGCCTCCACCCAGCCCTGGCGGGCCAGCTGACAATGCACCCCAGTGGAGCGACAGTATCATGAAAACCCTAAGATTCTACTGACGAATATCATGTCCTTCACACACAAATTTCATTAAGTGCTTATTTTAAAAACAAGTATCTTCTAATGATGAATCAGTAAGACAAATGAGCAATCTTTCACTAGTACCGTTTGCTTTCTTGACAGTTCAACTTTAAAAATAGCTACCTATCAAAACCATCTTTCTGAAACAGAAATCAGCACAATCTTTGCTTCCTGATTACAGATAACAAATTATGTGTGACATTTCCAAAACTAACTTCCAATCTCTTTATTCATGTTTAGACAGTTCTCGGTTACAAAAAAGGATGAATGAACAGGACATCAATCACTCTGGAATACCAGCACCTTAAAGATGTCTTTAGCAGGTCAATAATCTTTTCACCTTGGAAGGACTTTATCAGATCTTGTCTAAAGCCTGGATAAAAGCTCTGCATTAAGTACTTCTAACAATTGACAGTGTATCTCCACCACACAAAGCTGTTTTCTTCCTTAAGGTGCAATCCTCAAGGTCACGATTCTGTGCAGCCTTCCAGAATGACAAAGGGGCATTACCTCCAGCCAAACAAGCTGTCAACACAAACTTTGTCATAGCTCAGATAAAGAAACTGGCAGACAGTGATAATAAGGTCTAATTTCCCTCCCTCCCGAGGGAGGGAAATAGATTTCAAATCAGTCTAGAAACCTGTGCCCAGGCAGCCATGTTATCTTCGGCCATACAAAGGAAAAGACTCACTGTGAACTCATCTAAAGGCTCATTGATCTCGATGTCTAACACTTCATCATTGTACAGCTGCTCCTCCTCGGGCTCCTCCACATACTCCATGTGGTCCTCCGTCAGCTCAGCATCATGGCCTTCATACTGTCCTTCTTCTGGGTACTCGTGAGCATACAATTCAGATCCGTCGGGTTTGTGGTAAACAAGTTCCTCCTCCCCTTGCTCATACTCAGACTCCTGTTCTCCGGATTGGTCATTAGTGTTGTCAGAGAGTTCAAATGACGTGACCATGCCAGATGTGGTATTTAAACTAATCGTGACACCCTGAGAACTACGAGAACAAAAACACAAAGAAAGGTGCCCAATTAGAATCAAGCTCGAAATTAAATCACTACCTAAACAACTGTTACAAAGATGTAGACCACGACGGGTGAAAAGTTGTTCCAGTGACTAATAAACGCACACTACTCCACTGGTGACCGAGAGCAGAGCTCAGCGTGCCGTACTGAGCCTGCACCCCATGCTCCTAACGCAGACAGCACCCGCACTGTCACCAGATGCAGGTTATTTGCCCAAAAGAATCAGGTCAACCAGATGGGGAAACAAGTCTGACTGGCAAAACTCCAGGACTGAAAACAGACTATATTTCATTCTAACTTCCAGAACGAAAAGGGTGGTATCTGTTTTCCAAGATTCCAAAGTAAAAACAGGTGTATTATTCCATAAACAGAAAATCAGAGATCGAATTTTAGAACAATTCGTTCTTTTTAAATCTATGATGCAAATTATAAACTCCTTTTTAAAAAAATCAAAATATTAAAAATGTGTGTGAAAAGACATTTCAATATTCAAATAAATAAAATTTGTACTAATCACCAATTTCAAAAAAATTAGTTTATAATTTCTGAGTAAAATACCAAAGAGGGTTTTAAAACCGCAAAAAAAAAAAAAAAAAATTTTATTCCACCCACTGAATCACAACAGCTACACACCCAACAGTAAACCGCAAGATAACAACACTTACAGTGCAAGATTTTGTAGAAAAACCTTAAGTGCGCACATATCAATTAGGTTATCTAATCCTAACAAGAAACCTGAATACACCACACAGATTTGAAGACATTACTTGGCTAAAAACTCCAAATTGCCTTATTTTGAGGGCAAACAACTCAAAAGATCAAAATATAATAATGATGTCAAAGAATGGAACTGGGAAACTTGAATAACTGGGAGAAAAAACTAACTTAAAGCTGTATTTCTATCCATAAAAATTACTTTAAGTTAGAACACCTGTTCAATAATAAATGGCTTATATTTATTAACCTCATTTATAACCGAGAGAGGTCTCTCTGAATTTTCACTTTAGGTTTCCTCATAACATTGAAAAAATTACTCCACCTACCAGAGGGTACTAAATACCTCTTCTTCCCCTTACAATGGAGCTTACTAGTCAACAACAAAAAGACATTCATGACTGCTGCGGACTGGTTATTAGTGTCCCCCAAAAGTCATCCTGTTGAATCCATAACACACCCAGTGTGATGGTGCCCAGAGGTGGGACCTTTGGGAGATGACTGTAAAGGTCATAATGCTGGAGTCCCATTGATGGGATTAGTGCCTTTACAGAGAGGGCCCCAGAGAGCTCCCTCACCCTTCAACCCTGTGAAGACCTAGCAAGACAGCGCCATCTATGAACTAGAAAGTAGAAACTGACCATGCTGATGCCTTAACCTTGGACTTCCTAGCCCCAAGAACTGTGACAAATAAATTTCTGTTATGAACTACCCAGTTCATAATGTTTTGTTAAAACAGCTGAAAAAGACTAAAGTAACTATGTTCACTAAACAATTACATTCAGATAGTCAACTTGAGTCTAAGGTACAGTCCAGGGACGCCTGGGTGGCTCAGTCGGTTAAGCGTCTGTGTTCGGCTCAGGTCATGATCTCAACGGTCCTGGGATCAAGCCCCGCGTAGGGCTCCCTGCTCAGCAGGGAGTCTGCTTCTCCTTCTGCCTCTTCACCCCCAGTCCTCAGGCTCACTTTCTCTCTCAAATAAATAAAATCTTAAAAAAATAAAAATTAAGTACAGTCCAAAGGAATTTCCAAAATGGCAATTCACTAAACAGATTACATATCAATAAGAAGTCTAAAGTAAAAACAAAAGCAGCAACATCAAACTGCAGCCGACAGTAATAAGAGCCTAAGGCCATTGCCCCCATCCAAATAAAGGAATTCTTCAAAAGAGCAATACATACCTTTACTGAGTTTTCATCACCTGCATTCAACAGAACTTAGAGAGGTCATCAAATGCAAGACCAATACCTATTTACACAAAAATATATATGGCTTCCACATAAGAGAGTTATATTAATATCCTGTTCAAAATAAAATCATGTTGAAGAAATAACATCACATTATCAATTATATTCCATTGTAATTATAAATTACAGTTACTAACAATTTAAAGAAAATTTTTAATGAGCTAATAATGAATACCTGAAATTTTCTTCATCCTCATTATCACTCTGTAAAAGATCATCATTCAGCTCTTCATCTGACAAATCCGACTGATTCTAATTAAAATAAGAGATCTAATTAATGCATGCCACTTCCACAAAAAGACTTGTTACAAATGTGCAAAATTACGTTGACTGAATTATTTCTAACCTTGTTATTAAAGCATGTGCCATTCAGTAAGCTATCTCACTTTGATACGACCAGTTGACAATTGAGAAATTCCACATATGGTGTACTTGTGACCCCAGAAATTTTCAGATGCAGAGTCAGGTAATAAGTATAGAAACAACAGGCTTAATGATCACATTTATTCTAAATCTAACAAAAAAGGAAAAAGGAAGAGTCCTTTAGCAGTATCCTACAAACATTTTTCCCTATCATACACAAAAAAAAGAATGGTATCCTTAAGATTTGACTAAATTTGACTTCACTCATATGTGGAATTTAAGAAACAGAGTAAGAAAAATGAAAAAAATAAGAGGCAAATCAAGAAAGAGACTCTTCACTCTAGAGAACAAACTGACACTTACCAGAGGGGGAGAGGGTGGGGGATGGGTGAGATGGGTGATGGGGGTTAAGGAGGGCACTTCTTGTGATGAGCACTGGGTGGTGTAAGGAAGTGATGAATCACTACATTGTACACCTGAAACTAACATTACACCGTATGTTAACTAACAGGAATTAAAATAAAAACTTAAAAAAAAAGATTTGACTAATTTTAACACTGTTAGTATCCAAAATCTGAAGACTTTTTAAACAAAAAAAGAAGAATTTTCTAAATAAGCCGATTTTAGCGGCGCCCAGGTGGCTCAGTCCATCAAGCATCTGCCTCCAGCTCAGGTCATGATCCGAGGGTCCTTGGGATTGAGCCCCACATCAGGTTCCCTGCTCAGTGGGGAGTCTGCTTCTCCCTCTGCCCTCTGTTCCTCCTTCCCGCTCATGTTCTCTATCTTGTGGTGCTATCTCTCTCTCTCAAATAAATAGACAAATAAAATCTTAAAAAAAAAAAAGGAAGAAGCAGATTTTAGATAAGTAGATGGCCAAATTGAAATGGTAAGGGACTAAAACAAAACTTGAGTTTATTAATAGAGATGACACATGAAAATAAACATGCCTGGCTCAGGCCCTCACCCCTGCTCTCGACAGGCCTGTGCATTCATCGCACCAGTAGGCAGAGGAAGCCTAGTGATTTTGTCAACTGCTCAACTTTCCACAGTTCCAGGTTTTGTTAAGTTAAATATATACAAGTATTGTACACTTACACTGGGGGGGGGGGGGGGGCCTTCACATTTTCCTCCCCTATTCAAATTTTTTTCATGGTATACATAAATTACCACACCCCCTCCAAAAGAAGCCCCATGAACACACACATATTAGGAAAAAAGTAAAGATAGAAAAAGGAAAAAGAGAAAGACTTGATTTTCTACTTAAAGATGAAACAAACAAGCAGTCTTTTCCTAGCATTTTATAGCTTATAAAAATAGGTTTCTCAAACTTATCTATTCATTCTTCATTATAGTATTTTTGATACAAGCCAAAAAAATATGAACCTTACTAGTTCTTACTGGTCTCAAGGGTCTCTACTTAATGGCTGACAGTATAAGATAAAAATAAAATAACATGGGGTGCCTGGGTGACTCAGCCAGTTAAGCATCCGACTCTTGATCTCAGCTCAGGTCTTGATCTCAGGGTCACTGAGTTCAAGCCCCAAAACTAGTAATAATAATAACATAACATAACACAGACCATGTAGTTTTCTTGAAGAAGGGAGAACAGATCTGTATGAAAAAGAAACAGACTGCTTAATAGGGCCAAAATAAAGTTTTGCTTAGTTGCCCACATAATCTGTCCTCTACTAAAGGAGATGAGCCAGGCCTGCCTAAATTTAGCTGTCCAATTTATTAAATAAAACCACAGGAAATCTTTAAAAATCTTTAAAAATTAATAATTCAATGAAAGCCAAATTTCATTAGAGGCTGCTTGAGTTTTAAATTTTTAAGTATTTGTCAAAAATTACTGAGCAAATAAATAACCAAACAAACAGAAAGGAATGTACTACGTTGTGGTGGGCCCTTATGGTAATCAGATCCTACTTCTGCATTCTAAAGATTCAACTTCCCATACGGATTCTGAATGTGATGAGTAATATACACAGGAGGCAACTGATCAAGATACCCACTTAGCTGATAAAGCGGAGGTGGAGAGCTAGACTCAATCTCTGAGACAAAAACTGATTTTCAACCACAGCCCAAAGAATTGAACTGTTTCCTCAGGTAAGGGTGGAGTCACTAGGGAGGATTCTGTTCTGGGTGGTCTGCAGGAAAGTAGAGCAAGCACAACCCCAGAGAGGAAGAGAAAGTGGCAATGAATGCTAGCAAAATCCTTTCTCCCAACCTTACCAGAGGAAGAGGTCATTCCTCTCCTGGGGAGAGAGACAAGTATGAAAGAAAAAGAATGCTTCTCCGGGACTCCCCAGAAGATGGACCAGCTATGGGAACATCTGAAACTGGCGTAGCACAGAGCACCTGTCCAGCACTAGCTGCTGAAGTCAAACAGAGAAACTGAAGGGGGGTCACGTGCTGGCAGGCGACCAGCACCTCAGGCTTCCCCCAATTTCTCAAGGCTCTGGCTGGGTCATGCCAGCATGCTTCATCTTGAGTTTGCAACCTCTCATTTTTAACCTATATTTAAACATTTCCCTCTCACAACCTCCCTTCTTGACCCGACGACCGTGTCCTTGACTGCCCCGTTGGTCTGATGATGTCACCATACCCAGTGCGTGGCTGTGCGGCCCTCTGGCCCCCCAGCCTAGGAGCCTCTCTCCAGACAAAGCTGAGTCTCCGTACATTTCAGGGGACACAAGTGGGGAAAGACAGTGGGCAGGCAAGAGTACCCATAAGAATAAATGAGCTAGTAAATACGCGACAAAATATTCAATCTCACTAGAAACCAAATAAGTACAAGGTAAACTAACCAAAAATCATTTTTCATCTATCTCACAGACAAAGATTTTTAAAAGAGAAGTGGTCTCAAACCTGGGGGACTGGGAAGGTGAAAGGCTTGGTTCATACACCTGCTGCTCAACTGATAAAATACTGCTGGAAAGCAACTGGACAACAGGAGACAAGAGTCTTAAATGTTTACACCCTTAGGCCAGAAGTTCTCCTTCATGGAAATTTGCTAAGAAAAGAATTTCAAAAGCATAATAACATTTGTACATTAAAATAGCATCATAATGTCTGAAATTCACTTCAAAATACTTCAGGAAGAGGAGTGGGCAGAGATAAGGCAAAACTGCCTTTAACTGAAAGCTGCTGAAGCAGAGTGACAAATGCATGAGGGTGACAGTCACTCTGCTCTCTTCTTTTATATATGCTTAAAATTTTCCGTAAGAAGTTCTTTTAAAAAAAAAAAGTTACAGCACAGGGACCTGGGTGGCTCAGGCAGTTAAGTGTCTGACTCTTGATCTCAGCTTGGGTCCTGATCTCAGGGACATAAGTTCAAGCCCCTCATCATCCACGCTGGGCATGGAGCCTACTTTAAAAAAAAAAATTTTTTTTTTTAAATAAAAATAAGTCATAGCAATGAGCTGGATACAACCTCAGTGAATACAGGAATGGCTAGGTATACTATAATATACACAAACTGAAATATTATGTAGCCATTATAAAATATCTTAAGAAACATTTCATGAGGGGCGCCTAGGTGGCTCACTCCGTTAAGCGTCTGCCTTCAGCTCAGGTCATGATCCCAGGGTCCTGGGATCGAGCCCCATGTCGGGCTCCCTGCCCAGCGGGGAGTCTGCTTCTCCCTCTGTTTCTGCCTGCCGCTCCCCCTGCTTGTGCTCACTCGCTCTCTCTCAATCTGACAAATAAATAAAATCTTAAAAATAAAAAAAAAGAGTATTTCATGACAACAGGAAAATGCCAACAATACAATGCTAAATTAAAAAGCAGTGTTTTTGGGGGGTTTTTTTGTTTTTTTTTTTAAAGATTTTATTTATTTACTTGAGACAGAGAGAATGAGAGGGAGGAGGGTCAGAGGGAGAAGCAGACTCCCTGCCGAGCAGGGAGCCCGATGTGGGACTCAATCCCGGGACTCCAGGATCATGACTTGAGCCGAAGGCAGTCGCTTAACCGACTGAGCCACCCAGGCGCCCAAAAAGCAGTGTTTTTTATATATAACATTTAAATTATACTCTAAAACATATGAAAAAAGAATATAAGGATATATGGTAAAATGTCAGTCATGAGGGCTTATATCTGTTTTTTTCATTATTTCTCTTTTGATATATCTGAGCTCTTTAATTCCTACAAGGTATAGCGTTAGGAAGGAAGAGAAGAGGAAAGGAGAGGGGGGGTATATACACTGTTCCCAAGCAGACAAACTTCCCAACTGGCCAAGGTGGGTGAGGGCCCTGCCACCAAGACAGAGGCAGCAGCAGGCTGCCGCGCCCCCGTCCCATGGGAAAGGAGGCCAAGTCACACCAATCAACTGGTCCAGTAAGAGAAAGTGACACTACACCCCCAGAAGAGTCAGCATTACTATCCAAACCAAACTGCTTTTCCACCTTTACTGGTAAGAGACCTGACCAAAGCTTTCACAAGATGGGGACAAATGTCCACCAAAAGGAATTACTAGGACTGGTGGAACATCCTGATAGAGACACGGGGCAAACTATGCTGCCCCAGGCTTGCCCAAGGATAGAAATCCAACTTACATAAAAAATATCTTACTACATTTAAACATTTTAACATCTAACTGGTATTCTTCACTAAAGTGTCTTAAATAATTCCAAAGGAAAAAAACGTGTTTACATTAGAGTAGTGAACTCCCAGGTACAGTGAGAGCACCTCAAGGATGTGCAAAGTAATTACCACTGAGTCACCAAGAAACCACTACCACTTTCCCCCTGTGGCCATGACACAGGAAGGACTAGCCCTGCACCCCAACCACATGACACATGCAGGGCACCCTGAAGCCAGAGAGTGAGCCCCTCAAACGAGGAAAGGCTGAGGGGCCATCTCGAAGGTTTTTCACTTTCAGTATTTTGCTGCGTCCCCATGTACTTACATGAGATCAAGTGGATCTACAGGGAACTAAATTAATTCCTACTGAGAGTTACAGGTGATGAGAGCCACTTAAAGGAGGAAAGGCTGAGGCAGGCTGAGGCCAGGCCGCCTGAGGGCCAGTGATGCAGGAAGAAGCAAGACAGAGAAGGAAAGTGGCTTCACCAGAATCCCGTAACAAATTCAAGTATTAGCAAAAAAGCTAATGATGCAACGGAGTAAGCTACAGGAAAATGGCAACACTGGTACTTCTCCCACTACAAGATCTTCATTAGCCTTATTATAAATGATATTAAAAGGACAACATGATCAGGTCTACTAAATCAGACAAATGATGTGACCTCATCACCTGAAAGTACAGTGAGCTTATATATAGCAACTGTGGACGGTAAGAAGCCACCACAATCTCAAGACTTTAAAAAACTAAGCATAAAAAAACTACCTTGATATTTACTAAGAACAGCAAGTGTTTTTAAACTGTTAATAAATAAAATAAAAATTCACTATTTCACTTTAATCTTTGGATTTGTATTTCTATTTTTCATGTATGTTTTATAACGTTATTGGTAGAGTAACATAAACATACACATACATTATATATAGATATACACATATCAGAGTTAATTACTGCAAAGTTTTGTTTAATCAAAAGGGTTTAGAGAAACCTATATTAGGGGTTAGACTAGTATTCTCACTTATCTGAATGTGTGTTACATTTGAGTACAGCTATCTCTGAGCTTATCTCCAGACTTTCAAAAAGGGAATGCAAACTATTAGCCTCCAAATGTTAGTTTTCTTGTGAGTGGCGGTTTTATGTTACTGCTTTCACAAACTCAGCACCTGCTGGAGTGCATCAGACTGAGTGAGAACTAAAATATTTGCATCAAAGGACTGATCACTTAGATAGTAGAAGTTACTGGAGAACTTACTAACAGACTAAACAGTCAGCTCTCTGTGCATTTAAAAGATAATTCAATTCACAACATTGCAATCTGCACCCAAACTTCCAGTACCACATCCCATTCATGAGATATATTCCTGTATGTTCAGTACAATGAAGCAGCTGGAGGGTGGTTTCAGGAAGACCTCAATTTCTTACCTTTTTGCCAGACAGCAAATCTTCTCCAAGTAAGTCATCTTCAAGTTCACTGGGGATAAAGAAAAACAGGCATGCCAATGCATTATTCCTACAACACTGGAAAGTCTGCAGATCACTGGGAAATCTCCCCCGGACTTCAGGGTTTGGCTACTTTCCTGTTTAGTTTGCTATGCTTCCCTTTTTCTTTATTAATAATGAGAATGTAGTCAACTATATAGGGAATATGTGGTCTTTTAAGTGTGGGAGGCTCTGTGAGAGGAGGTGGTTCTCACTAGACTTCTGATCTCAGTTTTCCACCTCAATATGAGATCTTTATTTCTTTGGACCTGTTCAGTAATCATTAAAAGAAGAAACTACAATAGGTAACATCTATGCTTTCTCCTGCCTTGCAAAACCTATCATGAAATAGGAAAAGATATCCAACATCATTAACTACGAAAGTTAAAACTAAAACCACTGAGAGACCATTTGACACTCATCAAAATGCAAAACCTGAAAAGATGAAAAACACAAGGCTGATGAGAGCATCCAAGTAAATCATCGTGACTAAGAGAATTATCTTTGTAAAAGATGGACGTCCTAGCAGTCTGAAATTTTTTTTGTCAGCATGCTTATGTTCTGAAGTGATCAGGAGCAGATTATGTCACAATTAAATTCAAAACCTTTACCAGATCAAAAAGCTAAAGAAATTTCCCGCTGTGTGTGTGTGTGTGTGTGTGTGTGTGTATATATATATATATATATATATATTTTTTTTTTTTTTTTTTTTTTTTTTGGGTTGATGAAGATGGCTACCACTGAATTATATTCTTAGCTCTGGGGAACCCAATGTCTTAAGAACAAATGTCTTTTAAGGACAACATCTAGAAGGAGAAAATAATCAGATTGTGCTTCCAGGTGCAAATGCACCAATATTCTTATTAGGGCTGTTACTCTATTTATAAGCACTCTGGTTACAAACTTCTGTAGGTTTTAGGCACAACTTTATCCAAAAACCATGTTTACTTGTAGTGTGCTACTTTGCAGAATACCAGAATATACAGGAATGCCTACTGGAGTTATAAAAGAAATGACTGTTTCTATACACCACCTTTTAGAACTAGAAATAATTCAACAAATCTTTTCATTCATGCACTGAACACCTTTTTGTTATCTTCTTACCCTATATAAATTCTATACCCTCATTTTATAGATAAAGAAAACAAGGATAAGAGATTAAATAATTGGCCCAAAGTCACACAGCATGGACAGACCCAGGACAAGAGGTTACCCATGGGGTAAATCTTTCACAGACTTGTATGAGTAAGACAGCTAGCTATCAGAGAATAACATGTAACTTCTTCCAACATTTCCACAAATCACCTAATCAGCTGTCAAGATACAATGTCTGCATCTTCCGTGTTAAAATCATCCTCTATGGGTGAGGAAAAAAGGATCTAGTCATCATACTGACAGGAACTCCATTTGAGAATTGATTCTAGATGACCAAAACAGACACTCGCCCCTTTGAAGACAAGCACCCACGCTAGGCCATCATCACTCTAACTCAAAATGAAAGATAACACCACCTGCTCAGGGGATACTGAGAACTCTTAAAACCAGAATACAGAAAGGCGTTGGTAAATATACAAGCAAAAATCTAGAAACTATCTGTACTATTTGCTAACAAAGGATGTATACAAAAGAAATCAGTCTTTGATGACTACCTATTTTTCCTAAACAAAAGCATTTTTTAAAAGAAGATAAGGAAAGCTAACAGTTATAAATGAGTGGAGTGTACCGAGATGGAGAATAGTTGCTTCCATGACTAACAAAGACAACAGCATGAAATAAGCAAGCAGGATGGGGAGACAGAGGGATTAGGTCCATACAATCACAACAGACATAAATTATAGCTCAAGAAATCGTGAGCATCCGTTCAGTGTATTATGTGCCAGGAACCATTCTAAGTGTTTCACACATATTAGCTTTTTTGTCGACATGACAACCCCATTGTGTAGATATTTACATCATCCCCCTTTTTTTAAAACGTGAAAACCAAGACACGGAGATGTTAAATAATTGGCTCAAGGTCACCCAGCTAGGAAGTGGCAAAGTCAACAGGCGAACCCCAAGATGCTCTAGCTCCGGGGTCCAAACCCTAACTACTACGCACAAACCCCACACAGAAAGTAAATGTACTTCCCTACTGTCATCACCAAGCTGGATCCTTACAAAAGGTGTACACAGAAGGGAAGAAATTTATGAAATATAAAACACACCAAGTGCCACTGAAAACAAGACGACAATGAGCTCCTGGGAGTGACCAGCCCAATCAGGTCCTCTCAAAGAGCTGAGGCACAGCACCCCCGCCCGTAAAGGCAGCTGGGCCCGTGGGCCCGGAAAGGAGAGCGGCACAGGGCGACTGAGGCGCTTCCTGGGTGCAAATGCACGGCTCCCTCAGGCTCTCACCGTCACCACCACTACAAAGTGGCAAGAACCACCTCTCCGGCCGTGGTTCTCATCCAAGACGAGAGACAATCAGCTCTTTTAGAGCAAGTGTACTTTTACTAGTAAACAGGTGTACACTGCAAGACACTTCCAGGAAACAAGTATTCTGTAGTCAGCCACATGGCTGCAGCCTTTCAAAACCACAAGGGTAAGTGACAACACACCCTGCACTCAGTCCATTGCCTCGGTGTGCCTCCCCTCCCCTCTCCAGGACACCCTCCTCCGATCTCTGCCAACTCTGTTTCCGGGAAGCTTTCTCTGGGAAGACTCGCGCAGGCTCTCCTGGCCTTTGCTTCTGGAAGGCCTTGGCCCATGGGATGACCCAACGGGTCATTACAGAGCAGGAAGAGAGAGACTGCCCCTCCCTGCTACCTGCACAGCCCAGTCCCACCCACTGCTACCACGGCAACCCCCACTGGGCTCTAGGATGCATTTCTTCCCCTAGGGTCTGCCGCTATGCCCTGGACACCGCACCAACTCTTACTGCTTCTTTATTAACCCTCTCCTGTAAATAGCTCCATCATCCAATGACTTCCATTTAGAGCCGTGAGTATGCCGTCTTTCTCCTGCATCGATACAGATACAAGCACATCCTTCAGAAAAAAACACTCCAGGGGTTAGTTCAACAATGGCACCAGGTTCTTCCAAATGCAAGAGCTGGTCATAACAATTTCTGACTCCCTCTTCTCCTTAGCTTTCAAATTTCTCCATTATCCAGTACATGCAAGAGACTGTCTTATGCTTTTAAAATATCAAAGAAACACACATGATACAGAACCTCCATATGCAACATGCACTGAAGACGAATGAAGAAAGGAGGCGCTTGTTGGTAAATAATGCTGGGACAGCTGCCATTCACGCCGGAGAGACGAGAAAAACCGGAGCCCTGCCTCACATCATCACCAAACCCAATTTCCATGAGAGCAGAAAGCCAACTAACTTCTTGACAACTGAAAGTCCCACTGAAAGGATACTGGAATGGTTCAAATATTAATAAAAATAACAACTGCAATGAAAATACACATGCAGTATTTAAATCTATGAGTTGGAAAGGATTCAAAAACAAAACTCACCTTTGGAGGATGCTAAGGAACTGACCCATTATTTTGAAAACTGGTAAATAAAAGTAAAGAATCAAGCACTTATTTAGTACCTCAGAGGAGCCAAGCAGTTTGCAGAAGTTAACTTGGATCATCCATCCTCCTGCCCATTTTCAAACCTAAACCTAATCAACATCTAGACCTATTAATTTACAGAAAATGCAAGAGATGAAAGAGCATACTAACACTCCAGGGGTGACAATCAGCAAAAGAAGAAACTCCACAAGACAAACCACCTTGTGTCTTCAAAAAGTTGCAGAGAACTTAAAAAAAAAAAAAAAGATGCATGAAAACCTACAGATGAAACAACACTTGGGAAATCTACCTAACCTATCAGTTGCAATCTAGGGATCTAATGTGGACTCCACAAACTATAAAACAGCATACAAGACCCATATCCACACTGTGTCGTGTGTGTGATACACTGATATTTACATGAGACAATCAGTAATAAGACATTAACATTCAGGGAGTTTTTCAAAATATAACTCTATTGTGGTTGTCTTTGTAAATCCTTTACTTTTTAGAGAGATACAATCTGAAATATTTTCAGATGAACTTATGTATGTCTGTAATATGAGGAGGGTTGCAAATTACAGATAAAAACAAGACTGACTTTATACCAGTAACTGTTGAAGCTGATGGTACACTGGGTACACTGTACTATTCTATTTTCACATTTTCTTCAAATCCTCAATAAGTTAAAAATCAATCAATTTAATCAATTTCAGGCAAATTATATATCTTAACTATAAAAAAAATAAATAAAAACACGCAAAACATACCAGAACACAAGGCAGGGAAGAATTTCCTAAGGACAAAAGTGGAAAGCACCTTGACCACACACCTCCATAAGTGATGCCCTCGGGAAGGCCACAGCATTGCCAACGAGTATTCCTGACCAAATACACAACCTAAATCTAGTTCTGAAGAGACACCTGCAAATCCATGCTAAGGGTGAGTCTACAAAATAAAGAGCCTGTCCTCTTCAAAACTGTCAAAGTCGTAAGAAACAAGGATACATAATTCTTCCAGATGAATATAAGGGGGGACAAAATGCACTGTATGATCCTAAACTGAAACTTGAACCAGAAAAAAAGAAACTCATTTTGGCTATAAAGCACACTCGGGAGAACTGTCAAAACTTGAATAACCGCTGTAGATTAAAAAACACAATTCTGTGTTAGTTAGCTTCATGATTTTGAAATGATCCAGTGGCTATGTAAGTGAATGCCCCTGCCCTTGAGAAGCTCACCAGGAAAACTACATGCTGAGGCACATGGGAAGCACACAGCCTGGTGCCCTCAGACCACTGTGAAGAGGAGCGGGGGAAGGGGGTCTCGGTGAGCGGGTGTGCAGAGGGCACAGAGGACAATGGACATGGCAGGAAGCAACTGCGAGTCTGGGGGCCCAGGAGAGTGTCTGTGACACTCTTGCAACTTTCCTCCAAGCCTGAAAATGATTCCAAAGTACACTGTGTTCATATTTTAATAAAAAAGGAAACAAAAGCCATACAGGAAAAGATTATACATTTGATTACATTATTTATAAAAATCGACCTGAAGGCTGCTGTTTAAAGGAACGCATGTCACAGACTGGGAGGAGATATCTCCAAGCACAAAAAATAAATTGCAGAAAGTATAAAGAATCCCTAAAATCAATAAGGAAAAGACAAACAACCGTTAAGAAAAATACACAGAGATATGAACAGACAACTGACAGAAGAGAAAATCCATATGGTGAGTGAACTACTAAAATACACGTTTTTATTCCGCTCCCCATCATAATCTTTGAAACAGAACTACGTACCAATACCTCTGGGGAGGCCATTTCTCTTACAGGAGATTTTGTTGTAGGCTCTAAGCAATTTTTCACAGACTGCCTAAGAACTGCTAAAGAGTAATCATCTTTATGTAGGCTCTTAAGTTTGTAATGTATATAGTTTTTAATGTAGATTATTCTGTAAAACTCCTGGGGCATCAGTTTTCAAATGGCAATCAGGTAATTCTTTTTACTGAAGATCACTGTTGTTCTTTATTCAGACCTATTTACCTTTATTATTAAATTTTCTGACTGCAACTACAAGGTAATTTTTTACCTTTTCAACACAGTATTTAAGATCTTTTTTTTTTTTTTTAAAGATTTATTTATTTATTTATTTGAGAGAGAATGAGAGAGCACATGAGAGGGGGGAGGGTCAGAGGGAGAAGCAGGCTCCCCGCCGAGCAGGGAGCCCGATGCGGGACTCGATCCCGGGACTCCAGGATCATGACCTGAGCCGAAGGCAGTCGCTTAACCAACTGAGCCACCCAGGCGCCCAGTATTTAAGATCTTAAGAAATACGTAGAGGTGCCTGGGTGGCGCAGTCGGTTAAGCGTCCGACTCTTGGTTTCTATGCTAAGGTTGTGATCTCAGGGTTATGAGATTGAACCCTGTGTAGGGCCTGTGCTGAGCCTGGAGCCTGCTGAAGATTCTCTCTCTCCCTCTTCCTCTGCCCCTCCCCCAAGCTCTCTAAAATAAATAAATGTTAAAAAAATATATATATATGTAAAGAAGAATCCTCATTTGAGAACCCCACCACCCAGACTATGCCCTCATGAACTTCTCCCAGTACACATCCCTCTAACTTCTACTAGAGCTGCTCACCAGAAGTAATCACTATACAGAACTGACATTTATCACTACTATGAACATTTTTAACACCTTTAGTGCATGTATGTGTATCCCTAAAGATATTTTCACCTTCACTAGTAATCAAAGAAATAAAAATTTAAATTACAGTGAGATACTATTACACACATATTAAATTGGCAAAAATTTTAAAGTCTAGCCAAATATTGGGTAGACTAAACAAAAGAACTCTGGCAATGACAGCTCTGGGGATCCACCATATCATTACCACCATTGTGAAAAACACAGACAGAACGGACAATCAGGGCCCTATAGACAATACAGGCCTGGAACTGGAGCCCACCAGAAAGCCTTCTACCTGGAAGGCCTGCCCTTGCCCTCACTTCAGCCCAGCACGGACAGGCCCACTTGGGAAAGAGCATCAGGTAGCCAACATACTGCTCTCAGTAAAGATCTCTGCAGAGCCGGGATGCCTTGCTGGCTCAGTCAGTAGAGCATGCAACACTTGATCCTGCGGTTTTGAGTCTAAGCCCCACACTGGGTGTGGAGATTACTTAAAAATAAAATCTTAAAAAAAAAATCTCTGCAGAGCCAAGTGGCAGAATCAGAGAAATCAGCACAGACTACAAGTAACCAGGTGTTCTATACCTGTCCCAGTCCTCGTCTGCAGCTCTTCTTCTCCAAGATCGCTCTGCACCAGGCTTATCAAACTGGTCAAAGTCATCATCTGTGAAGGAGAGGCCATGAAAGTCAGTCTTACTAAATTAAAACAGACACAGATATTCAAATACTGACGGCCCCTGACTTACAATGGTTTAACCTATGATTTTCAACTTTACAATGCTGCAAAAGCAGCATGCATTCAGTAAAAACCATACTTCATATTTGAATGTGGGTCTTTTCCCAAGCTAGCGACATGCGATACGATTCTTTCTCGTGATGCCAGGCAATGAGCAACAGCCACAGCTCCCTGTAGCCACGGGATCATGAGGGTAAACAACCAATACACTGACAACCATCTGTACCCACACAACCATTGTTTGTCACTTTCAGTACAGTATTCAATATGTTACATAACATAGTCAACACTTCATCATAAAATAGGCTTTGTGTTACAGGATTCTGCCTTAAAGTAGGCCAGGCTAAGCTATAATATAATGTTCCGCAGGTTAGGTCTATGCATTTTCAGTTACAGTATTTTCTTCAATTTACAGCAGGCTTATCAGGACATAACCCCGTAAGCTAAGGAAGAGCTGTACTGAAACAACCTGTTTCTTCTGTGGATTCCTGACGTCACATTTTAAAACGTAAAGGTTCTGGCTCTCTGCTCCTCCCCTCTTCTTGCGCAGTACCAGCTTCACCCGAGACACAGTGCTGAAGGTCTACGTGTTCCAGTATGATCCCACCAGGGCAAATTCAATGGCCCTATCAAGGCTGAGAACAGGAAACTTATCAATGGAAAGCCCATCTCCACCTTCCAGGAGCGAGATCCCACCACCAAATGGGGTGATGCTGGTGCTGAGCAGGTTGTGAAGTCCCCTGGGGACACGGAGAAGGCTGGTGCTCACCTGAAGGGTGGAGCCGAGAGGGTCATCATCTCTACCGCTTTTGCTGAAGCCCCCATGTTTGTGATGGGTGGGCATGAATCATGAGAAGTATGACAACTCCCTCAAGATGGTCGGCAATGCCTCCTGCACCACCAACTGCTTGGCCACTCTGGCCAAGGTTATCCATGACCATGGATGGCCCCTCTGGGAACGTGTGGTCTTTTAAGTGTGGGAGGCTCTGCTAGAGGATTTTTACAGGATCCTGGAGGTCAGGCTAACGTCAAGCTAAGGCTGCCTTTTGCCTCTAGCAAAGTATTAATGCTGAGGCAGCCGAGCTCCTTGAAGAAGGTCACCCTGCCTGTCCCAAGAACTTGCCAATGTGCTGCAAAGGAGATTTAATTTTTTCTATATTTCTTTTGCCTTTGTTCTCACATCAAGAGATTATGTTCATGTGTCAAGACTCATTATTACTGAAATGTCAATCTCTCCCCAAACTGATCTATAGATTCAACATAATCCCAATCAAAATCCTAGCAACTTTTCTGTAGAAATTTAAAAAGTGATTCTAAAATTCATATTGAAATACAAAGGACCTAAAATAACCAAAACAATTCTGAAAAAAGAGCATGTTGGAAAACTAACATTGTCTGATTTTAAGAATTATTAGAAAGCTATAATAATGAAAACTGTGGTGTTGGTATAAAAATAGACAAATAGACCAATGGATCAGAACAGCCTATCGAGAACATACGTGGACAACTGATATTTTACAAAGACTCAAAGAAAAGTCTTTTCAAATGGTACTAGAAGAATTGGATCACCATATGGAAAAAAAAAAGGGGGGGTGGGGTGGAGAAAGAGAGAAGGGAAAAAAGTGAACCTGGATCCATTCCTTATTAAAACACAGAAAAAACTCTTTGTGGTCCCTGGGTTAGGCAAGGACATACTGGTGACAGCAAAAGCCCAATCAATAAAAGAACAAAACGAGAATCTGGACTGCAACAAAATTTTAAAACTTCTATCCTCCAGAAGTCATCATTAAGAAAGTGAAGACAAGCCAAACTAATAGTAAGTCTGTGCAAAGTACATATCTATTAATAAAGGACCTGCACACAGAAAATATTAAAAACTCTCAAACTGAACAATAAAAACTCAACTTTTTCTAAAGAGAAAAAAAATTTTTTTTTTTTAAGATTTTATTTATTTTAGAGAGAGAGAGAGAGCCGCAAGTAAGGGGAGGAGCAGAGGAGGAGGGAGAAAGAAGGGGAAAGAATCTTAAGCTGACTCTTGAGAGGAGCCTGGACACAGGGACCCATCAACCCTGAGATCATGACCTGAGCCGAAACCAAGATTCAGATGTGTAACTGAGTGAGCTGCCCAGGCGTCCTTAAGGGGAAAAATATTTAAATAGAGACTTCACCAAAAAAAATGTATGTATGACAAAGAGCATATGAAAAGATTCTCAACATTACACTGTCATTAGGAAAATGTAAATTAAAGCCACAACAATACAGCAGGACATATCTATGAGAATGAGTAAAATTCAAGACCTACTATACCAAGTGTTGTCAAGAATGTGGAGCAACTGAACTCATATTCTGCTGACAGGAATGTGAAGTGATACAACCACTTAATAAAATAGTTTGGCAGTTTGTTTGTTTTTTAAAGATTTTATTTATTTGAGAGAGAGAGCACAAACAGGGGCGAGTGGAAGAGGGAGACACAGGCTCTCCGCTAAGCAGGGAGCCCGATGCAGGACTTAATCCCAGGACCCTGGGATCATGACCCGAGCCGAAGGCAGACACTTAACCGACTGAGCCACCCAGGTGCCCCAGTCTGGCAGTTTCTTAAGTTAAATATACCCCTACCACATGATCCAGCCATTCCACTCCTTTGTAACTACCCAAGAGAAAAAAAATATAAAAATCCATGCAAAGGCTTGTACACAAACGTTCATAGGCACAATATTGGTAAAAGTCCAAAAGTGGAAACAACCCAAATGTCCATCAACAGGCAAACAGATCAACAAATTGTGGACTATCTGTAAGTACAAGTCTACTCAGCAATAAAGGAGAATTAAATACTGATACACTCGACAACATGGATGACCTTCAAAATAATTATGCTGAGAGAAGCCAGACAAAAAAAAGAACACATACTCTCAGATTCCTTTTTATAAAATGGTACTGTTACAACAGTAACAGAATCAGCATTTGCTCAGGGACAGCAGGGCAGGAAGCAGGAATTAAAAAGGACACGAAGACACTTCTGACGATGACACATTCATTACCCTGACTGTGGCTGTGGTTTCATGGATGTATACATATATCCAAACTTATCAAATTGTATGTTTCAAAGATACGCAATCTCCTGTATGTCAATTACACTTCAATGGAATCAGTTTTTTAAAAAAGATAATTAAGAAACTCTGGTCAGGGATGAAAAACTCAAATGTCTACAGGAAGTACACAGGGGAATATAAATGAGCAAAGCAGACTAGGTGGGAATTACATCAAATTAGCAGGACTTTACCTTGTTTACAGACAGGAGCATTACCACCTATTACAGGGAACGCACACCCAGTGAAGGCAGATTCCAACTTTTCAAGAGAAGACAAATATATGGATTGTTCCTTAGTTTTTAAATGTAAGCAACTAATTCAGGTTTCTGGGGGCACCTGCGTGGCTCAGTGGGTTAACCATCTGCCTTCGGCTCAGGTCATGATCCCAGGGTCCTGAGATCAAGCCCCAAGTCGGGCTCCCTGCTCAGCAGAGAGCCCTGCTTCTCCCTCTCCCTCTACCCCTCCCCTCCACTTGTGCTCTCTCTTGCTCTCGCAATCTCTATCTCAAATAAATAAGTAAAAATCTTTAAAAATAAATAAACAAAACAATTCAAGTTTCTGTGTTAATTTTCCTTCCTCCCCCAGATTACATACTTCATGAAAACAGAGAGTATTCCCCAGCTATGACAACGTGAACAAAGTCCCAACATTTTATAAGCAAAAAGGTTTGTTCATGGCCTTTTTCACAGCAGTTCACAGTGAAGGTATTAATGGTCACAATCACCCCTGGCAGATAATGCTAATTACAACACCCAATTCTGCTGAGGACAGAAAACCTTTATGCCAAGGTAACAATCACCTAGAAACCTTAAAAATTATACAATCCCTGGCCCCACCCTGAATCTGATTCAGTGGGCTCTATTTTTTGTTTTTTAAAGCTTCTCAGTAATTGTAATGACAGCTAGAGCTGAGAATCCCTGCCCCCAGTCGACCACAATCCATCAGAGAAGATACTCCAGAAGAAAATTTAACTGTCATCTTGCTATATATATGTATATATGTATATGTGTATATATATATATATACATACATATATACATATATATATATATAACTGCTTCCTGCAGCTAAATCCACAAAAGTCAAAATTAGAAGCCTGGATTATGCAAAAATAGTTAAATAGATACTTCTCCAAAGGAGAGACCCCCATAAAACGTCCAAGAAAATTAAGGATTAGTTCAAGTTAAGCAGAAACTATGAACAGAACTAAGATCACGAAACCCGATTCCTTCAATAATTATTTGAGCACCTAATGTATGCCCGGCATTGTTCTAAACACCTGACATACAGGGGTGTACAGGATAAAAATTTCCACCATGTGCAGGTTACAGTCTAACAGGTACAGACAAACAAAATCCCACAAACAAATATATATGGAAAACAAGGAGGAGGGGAGTGGGAGGTGCTAACCAGGCTGATTACAATTTTAAAGAGAATGATCAGTGTAAAATGCATTTAAAATGGACATGGGAAGCACTGCCAATATAACTGATGATACAGTAACAGCACTGTATGGTGACAGATGGGAGCTAAACTTGTGAGCACAGCAAAAGGTACAGAGCTGTCAAATCACTATGTTGTAACCTTGAAACATGTAACATTTTATTGATTATACTAAAATTTTTTAAATTTAAAAACAAAATGTACATGGGTTGTATCTTTCAATATTTACTGTATTAAAAATTAAAACCAAGGCATTTTTAAAATATTTTATTCACAAATTGGTATAAAAGAAATAAACCCATTACACTTTAACGTAACATATTCTTAATGAAAACTGTATTTATTTATTTTAAATATTTTATTTATTTGACAGAGAGAGAGACAGCGAGAGAGGGAACACAAGCAGGGGGAGTGAGAGAGGGAGAAGCAGGCTTCCCGCAGAGCAGGGAGCCCGATGCAGGGCTCGATCCCAGGACCCTGGGATCATGACCTGAGCCGAAGGCAGATGCTTAACGACTGAGCCACCCAGGCGCCCCGTTAATGAAAACTGTATTTAAAAAAAGAAAGATTTTTGTTTTGCAAAACTCTTTAATGTCTCTCTGTAGAAGACAGCTTGATTTTTACATCCGCTTCTGCATTCGATCTCTTGCAATATATTGTTCTGACTGAAGTGCATGAAAGAAATCCAACTCCAAATGTATGTGAAGTTGTAAGAGGGCATTAAGTGTTTTCAGGTAATTTCAGATATTCTTGATACTATACCAATACTCGATAAGTGGCGGTTTCTCAAAGGCTATTTGCAATGAAGAATCTGAAGCCTTATCAATGAACATTTCATACTCTCACCTGTTAAAATGCAATGGTATGTCTTGCATTGTTAATACATCTTTTAACATGAGTGTTTATGTAACATCTTGAAAATACACATTCACTGAGTTTTGCTGCTCTTTCAAGTGTGGACACCTTTCATTATTCAATATCAAAAATTACATTTGTTAATAGCACTACCAATCTCATCAGAAAAGTATTCAAATATTGGGACGTCTTCAAGTTCACCATAGCAAATACAACTTTTCCAAAATTCTAATTCTAATTTGGAAGCT